TTTTCTTGAGCTCTTAATCTCTTCGTACTAGCATAAACACCCCCTCCCACCCCTAATAGTCAATATCCTCTACTTAAATACGAGGGACCTCATGTATCGGGGGGCATATTTGATACTGGGGGGTGGGGGGGTATTTAACATTTCTATGAAGGGGCTCCATCTTGCTGAGGAAGGTGAGACTTCACTGCGCAACCTGCACCAGCCGGTCAAGCACATGCCGCAGCCGGAACCTAACATGGCGACTGCCAGGACTTCAGGGTCAAGATGCCCTAAACCCTAAACGAGGAAGGTGTAGTCCTATTCCCTTTTGGGAAACACTTTATGCCCGCCCAAATAAACTACTACTACTACTACTACTACTACTACTACTCAGATGGCGACTTCAAGGACTTTGGGTTGAGCCAAGGGATTCGGAGACCCTGAGAATGCGCAAAAACGCGGGAATTTCTCGGACAATGAAACCCCTAGAGCGAATGTGTCTGCGTGTAGGAGCCTAAATTTCCAGCATACAAGGTAATATAACCCCAGTATAACCTCAATACTACCCCAAGGTAGCTTCCATAAAAGAGTGGGCCCTCCAGAATTCCATCATCCCTGTTCTGGGGACCGCCAAAAAACGACCCCTGATTTTGGGAAACCTAAGCCCTATATGAACCCTGTAAAGTGGGAAACCAATAAGTTCTAGTGGCTTCAGAGCCTAGATATCTGTGCGTGACGTGCTTGAGGTGCTTGGCATGTGATCTACAATCACTATTTCCCTGTATAGTTATAGGGTTTTATAGAGGGACAATAGAGGGGATGTATGATGAACAGTCAACATTTCCCCATATAACGAAAGGGTTCAGGGTTGTCGGTATATATCTATATATAGACACATTTCTCACTGGGGATTATCTAGGGATAGTAGAGCGGATATATGGTCTACACTCAATGTTCCCCCATGTAATTAATGGACTGGGTTCCTTTTCGGAGACATACTAGGGACTCTACTAGACTACAAGCCCTATGTTTACCCTGAATGGTTCCTTGGTAGTTTGCTGAGGATGAAGGGCTTGCGGATGACTGGATCGTTTAATCCCGGAGGCTTTCTTCGCCTGGTTTAGTTTAGGGCTTACACCCCTCCCATTATGAAACCTTAAGCCCTTAACCACCGAATATTATATTTTCCTCATTGTATACCACAAAAGGGGAGGCTGAACGTTTCATTTTTCAAAATGCTGGAGAGCGGATTCATAAAATAATAATGCAATTCAGCCGCTCCCCCCCCCCAAAGTTGAGTGCTCCATTAATAAATGACTTATTGGCGGGGAAACCCGGCGAAGGAATTACACAGGCCCCCCGGCGGGAGGGAGGGAGGGATTGGGGTTTCGGCTTTAGAGATTTTCATCTCCTGACAAAAACCATTGAACCCTAAACCCGCAGCACAAAGATTCCTTTCCACTCTATTTCATACGTCAGAATGACAACCACATAAAAATGCCCGTAGTGGTTTTACGGTTTAGGGCTATGATAACAATCATAAGAATCTTAACGGGTCCTCTTTCAGACAGCTGCCAGCATGCAAGACTTGCACTCGGAGAGGCACGAGGAACAGCAAGCCTATACCTTAAACCCTGAAATTCCTATCCCGAACCCATAAGCCTAAAAAGTCCCAACACCCTATAACATCCAGAAACCCAAGCCCTAAACTATCCAGAAAAATGATACCAGCAACTGCCAAGGCCTTGGTAGCCACAACTGGGGTCCCTCCCCTGTTCATTTGTGCCACATTTCTTGCGCATTCATCATAGTACTTATCATAGTAGTTCTTAAGTAGCTTTAAATAGTATAGTAATAGTAGCAGCGGCAGCAGTAGTGACGGCCCAAAGCATGGTGAAGAGGAACATCTCAAGTTGAGCTGATACACAGTGTTGAACAACATCAGGGCGCTCAAACGCCGGAAGCCATGTAAGAAACCCTGAATGCCATAACGTTTTTCCCTCATGCTGTGCATGTAAGTGAGCCCTGGAAATCAGAGAACTTATGCTGGGAGTTTACGAGTTTAGGCTTCAAGGGTTGGGTTCATGTGCGCTACGCCCACCAAGTCGAAATTATCCAAGAGAGCAGCCTACTTCCCTGCCTTTTCTGGACCCCTGGCTGGGCCAGCAGTTTTGAGGCAACCGTGAAAGATAGAAAAAAAGTCGGAAATTGGCTGGGGCTTCTTAAGTTCTTGCAGGTCGCTTGTAGACAAAGCCATCGCAGTCCTCCACACCATAACAAGGCTCGCGCAGTAAGGAGGTTTGATAGCTTCTAGAAAGGAAGGTTGTTGATGGGTTTGTAAGATAGGGATCCTTTTATTTGGGGATGGCAATCTATAACAGATACTTCAAGCAAGCATTGGCAAAAGAGTGTCCGCGCTCCGCACAGTAAACCCCAGCTTGTGGGAGCTCTTCATTGAAGAAACCCTGCCCAAGTCTCAGGAAACTCTCATGAGACGCCTCCCCAATATAACCCCAATATATACCCTATTATAATACAGTAGTTCCACTTTATTTTCTATTATCTCAATATAACCTTAACATCACCCCAATGGGTACCTATATCCCCTAGTGCCCTTAATTAACCCTAACCCTGTAGCAACCTTACGGACCAAGCAGTCTAAGTAGGGCTCCTGGACACCAAGTCCAACCAGCAGCGACTCACCTGCGTGGTCTAGTGGTTTAAGGCCCAGGTGCGCCATGCAAGAGAGGAACCCTACGTAGTAGTAGAGAGAGAGAGAGAGAGAGACTTTGTACGTATTTACTCTACTCTCTCAACTTGAGTGTGGAAGCATAGCATGTCCTTTTGTGCCTCTGCGGCTGGTGATCTACTTGTGGGGCCCATGTGAGCCATAGTCTAAACTCCTAGTATCCCCCTTCATTAATATCCCCTACAGTAATCCCCTATAGGACCTCTTTGAGGAGTGTAGACTATAGACTATAGACCATGTAGGCAGTCCGAAGGAAACTTAGGATGATCCTAGCGTTCGTCAGGACGGGCGAGGGATTTGGAGAAGTTGGAGGGAGGTTGGCATGCAACAGCCTTCCCTCTTGGCTCCTGTTCCGGAAAATACGCATAACCCCAGCGCTCCCCAAAATATGGAACTGGTGACTATCATCAAGCTGGCATGGGCTGCTCATTTTGGGGTTGGGATTGCAAGCCCCGGCTGCAGTTGCCTATCCAGGAAGATGGGCAAAGACCGTTGAGAGCTTGACCTAGGGATAGCCGCAGCGGTTGTGTAAGCTATACTAGTTACTTAAACACTGCAGATCAGTTTATGGTTCAGGGCTTGGGGTAAGATATGACTTGCGTGCTCCCTAGCGCGAACTGTGATGCGAAGGCAGGCAGGTGGGACACGCTTGTGAGAATCGTGCGGGGTCACGGGACTTGGTAAGTATGCTTATAACCCCCCCCCTGTACTATAAGCCATGTAATAAGCCTGGTTAAGCAAATTATTAACCCACTTACTAAGTCTTCCTGACCCTCCAAGCAGGGTGTCAGAGCTTGGCCGTCGTTGTATGATGAGTAACCCTAAGCTTTTTTTGCAACGGATTCCATGACACAAGCCCTGGCCTGAGATTGGGCAACACTTACCAAACCCTCCCATGTAGGGGCCCTAAAACAATCCGTCTATGTGAGGTGCCCCCATACCATGATCATATGAGCCATAGTCTAAACTCCTAGTATCGCCCTTAATTAATAACCCCTATAGTACTCCCCCTATATAATCCCCTATGACCACCTATATAACCACCTTTAAGGCGTTCAAACTATGGCTCAAGTAAGGAGCCTGTGACCGTAAACTTGGTAATTATTTCGGCGTATCTAGATTGGGGACTCCGTGCCTTCCAGCAACAAGGAAGATGCGAACCTCAGCTCATTGTGGAGAACCGATGCCGGTGACTTCAAGTTCGATTATTGTTCTACCTTGGGTCATTCGCCCTCAACTTACCGGTCCTTAAAGAGTTTTTTGCAGGGCCGATCAGACGTCCTACTACACATACGTGCTACTGTCAGGGAAATGACCCAAGTTCTACCTGACCTCGCACTCTGAAAGCCCAAACTGTTGAGCCATTACGAGTTTCAGGGCGCAATGAGTCTACCCTCAAAAACACTACGTGGCACTTAGAACCCCTACTAGGGGTTAACCCTTAGGTATTTATAATAGGAGTGTAAGGGAATCCCAAAGGGTTAAGGGTCCAAGGTCCAAGCTAAGCCCCAATGACAACAGAACTTTGCGTCTCTGCACGGATGCCCAAACAGCCCGAACGCCTCAGGCAAACCAGTCACGCGCCACCACCTACAACCCTTCATACGCGACATCCAAAATTCCGGCTACCCTATGACCAGGACCCGAACAAGACCAAGATCTTGTGAGCGCCACCCTACGCCCTCAACCTGAACCCTGAAACTTGCATCCTGAGCACTAGGATCTTGAACCCAAAGCCCTTCTATCCAAAACCCTTAGCCTTAGTGAAGGACAACGACTTTTGTTTGTCAAAACTGCGGATTTCTTCCCTATGGTTTTCTAGGATGGTTTTCTAGGATTATAAAAAGGGTTAACCAAAATCCTAAAAATCATGTAAAAACTATCTCTGCAACCCTAAACCCTCATTCTCCCCTACATGCGCTATAGTTGCGCAGGTTTGGATATGTGCAGCCCGATTTGCTGCTAAGGAGCGTAACCAAATTCACCAGAATTGGGAAACAGCATTATGTGAGAACTCGGAAAATAACCTCCTTAAGGGGGGTCATGTAAGGGACTACAGGGGTTCCTATTGCAGGGCTGAGAAAGGTGGAGACTTTGAGTTTAGACTATAGCTCACATGAATCCAGTGCCCATCTCTAAAAAAATCAATTTCCGTTCGATTCCCCATGATCCCTGAACCCTAAACCCTAATTACCCTACTTACCCCTTGTGGGTATATCCCTAACCCTAATCACCCTTGTGTATTCCAAGCTCCTGGAGCCAGTTGAGCTGCTGAATGTTCTCACAGTCGTCAGGGTCCTGTTCCTGAGGCTCACGGGGCTCAAAACTAGGGCCCCTAAGAAGGCTTGTGAAGCATAAGGCTTTAGGGTTTTGGGATTGAGGGATTAGGGTGTAGAGCTTCCAGAATAAGGCTCAGGGGCGTAGGGTTTGGGAGGCTTACGGGTCTAAAGTCGAGGGCTGTGGGCCTTTCTTCGACCGGACATGCGGAACATTGTGGAGAGCCGTCTGCTGCCTCTTGTCTTAAAGTGGCTATCACAACCTTCTAAACCTTCAAACTTACCCCAAGCCCCTAAACTCTAAACCCTAATCCCTAAACCCTCTACCCTAAACCCTACCACGCGATCCTCACTTCACGCTTTTTGATCTCATTCTCAAGGCAACATCCCACATCCCCCGGCCAAGTCACGTAACCTGGGGTAGTGCCCCCACGCAGTAACAGGTTTAGGGTTCAGGGGTAAAGTTAAAGGCTATCTGTCTAATTATATTATATGCAATAATTCTCCAACTGGGTAAAAATGAATGGGCAAAAACACTTGTATTACAAGAATCATCCGACGCACTGAGCGAGGGCAGTAGCTACATCTAACCCCTCCTGTATCTAAAGGCAGCTGATTCATAATTTTGAAGAGCTTCGCGTCTACAAGGAACCCCAGACCCTAAAGTAGACTCTACCTTATGGGTCCGGAGGTCTTCATGGCGGGAGAGGATAAATATTCTCATCGCAACAAATGCATGAGGAGCCACCCGATTGAGGGTTTGGGGGTTCAGGGCTAAGTCTTTGATGGCCACGCATCCTTCCCTAAACCCTAAAGTCAAGGACCGAGGGAAGCGACCCAGAGCCAGAACATGCTATCTACGTCAGCCAAGTAAACCTAAACAATGGACTTGGCGTTGAGGCAGGCTCGTCGCACTGCAGGTTAAGGGGTTAGTGGCACACCTCTTAAAAACCCAAACTTTATGGCAATCCCAGTGGCGCTGCTGAAGCAGAATTCGGCAGTGACAGCAACGAGGTGGAATGGATAGTCACCTGTATCCAGCCCCAATGCCAAGCGTTGAGGGCTTAGGGCATCACAGGGCCCCTGCAAGCACGTGTTGGGTAGTACCCCCACCCTGTAGCAGCCTATATGAGGGGTCATCTTAAGGGCTATAGATATAACTGTGTTCTGAATTTAATCCAACAGTTACAGAGTGGGAGCAGTACCCAAATCAAGTGAGGGTCCCTGCCGGACTATCTTGGCACTCGAAATCTGTGCAAGCCACTCTTCCTTACCTGGACCTACCCAGATACCCATGGAGCCAAATACCTCTTAATTACAGAATCATACAAGAGCTCCTGGTACCGTTTTAGTTATCTTCCTTAATTTCGGGGTGTTGGGCTGTCTGGGTACCCAGACTAATGCCCTCTAACCACCAAAATAACGGGTACATAGGCTATGATTGTTGTGGCCTGATTCATTGTGCACTTTGCATAAATAGGAGGACCCTAATGTAGATCTCAAACCAACGTAGATCTCAAAATGCTATCTTACTCCAGGGACACCCAAATTGATACCACTATTTTTGGGAGAGCCTAAGCCACGAACCCTACGCCCTACATAATCCCCATAGCATCCCCCGTACTCTAAACCCTATTCTGGGAGACCCCCATGTAGTTTCTACCCAGATGTGGGGGGGACGGGGCGATGCTTGGGGAGGGGGCACGGTTTAGGGCTTAGGCTTTTAGGGGTTTAGTGGTCTAGCGTTTGGGGGTTTGGGGCGAGGCGAGGGGCTCCCCCCCAAGAATCTTGGCGATCACAGGCTATCCCCCTACTCGGATCATGAAGACAGGTTATGCGGCTTCAAAGCGGGTTTCAATACATGCGGGCCCCATGGGCCCCTACAAGGTGGCCCTTATGTTTTGGAAGGGGTCAACCCTTTTAAATCCCATATCCGCTTATGTATACCACCTCCATAACTGCCTTTAAATATCCTTTAAGTAAGGTCTGAGCCCATGATGGTAGCCGGCCTGACAATGTGAAGAACTGATGGCTGTAGTGGTGCGGCAGAAAGTAGCCTCGCAAAAGGGGTTTAGGTTGGGTCTTTCCCCCCTTACAGTTACTGTTACCACAATGGGTTCTAGGAGTTATAAGAACCCCCTCAATAAGGCC